CGTGCGGACAAGCAATCGAGAGGCGAGAAGCGAGGCATGCCAGCGGGCAAAGGCAGCCCGGCTTACCATCCGTGTCGAATGCAGTGCCCGTTGCCAGCTTGATCATGACATCTGCCTGTAACTGAGAGATAACACCTTCTGCCTTCCACAGGTCTATTGCCAAAGCCAGAAACTTGCTGAAATCAATGCCTGCTTTGCCCAGCTCGCCCTTCAGCCGCGACCGCTCGGAGCGGCTGCCGGCGGCGGCGCACCGCTCAGTGAAGAAGTCCTTGAACTCCTCCCAGAACACGATGGAATGGCAAAAGAACTTGATCTCGTGGGAGTAGCCTGACTGAACGGCGATGGCGACGCGCGCCTGTGGATGTGCTTCACAAAACCTTTCCCACGAGTTGAAGCGCGACTTCAGCTGCTTAGCTTGGTTAGCTGCACCGCTCAATAGCGGCGTTGGACCTAGAGCCTTGCTGCCGGACTGGGCACCATGCTCATGTGTGCTCATGGGGGTTGAGTTCGTTGGAAAAGCGTATTACGGTTGCTGGGATGCCAACAGAACAAACGGGAGGGAGAATGATGCATGATTGAGGATGATGTCCCCAATGACCCTCCAGGTGGGGGGCCATCATGCCCATCATGGGGCACATCCTTACCGGGAGGCCTACCTGTGTCCTGGGGCTTTCGTCTTCCTGAGGCTTGCACACTTGCATATCAATTTTGCGGCATCTGTTGACAGTATTTTGCAACCCGCTGTAGCAGACAGTATGCCGAAGAGAAAAGCGGCGGCGGCTCCCACGCCGGAGCAGCCGGCGGGCGAGGGCCCCAGCACCAGCGGGGGAGAGCCGAGCAAAGTGTTGTATCTGGGGTGCGCATGCTGCTGCTGGCGCCATGCATGCTTGTGGGTGCTCACAGCGCCCCTGCACATCCTGACCCGCAGGCACATACCACATGGGTTCTATGAGAAGCAGCTGAAAGGTGCGGGGCCTATGGCTCTGAGCCGGCCACCGCCGCCGCGGTCGCCGTCGCTGCCGCCAGCATGCCGCTCCCGCCCTCTCTGCCTCCCCCTCTGCATGCCACTCGGTGCTATTCCGCCGCCTGGCGCTGCTGACCCCAACAGCAGCGCCAGTGGACGGCTTCTCGGGGCAGCAGCCTGCATGCCCACGGCACGGCGCTCTCTGCTGGCCCCAGCCCCGGCCCCTCGGCCCCCACGGGTCGCCGCGCCGCTCTCCCACCCTGCCGCCCCGCCTGCCCGGCCCTGCCCGCCCCCGCAGAGTACTTCTCGCAGTTCGGGCGCGTCACCAAGGTGCGGCTGTCGCGCAGCAAGAAGACGGGGAAGAGCAAGCACTATGCGTTCTTGGAGTTTGGGTCTGCCGAGGTGGCGGCAATCGCGGCGGGGGCCATGGATGGCTACATGCTGCTCAGCCAGAAGCTGGCGGCGCGGGTGCTGGGAAAGGAGGAGGTGCACCCAGACCTGTTCAAGGGCGCCAACCGGGTGTTCAAAAAGGTGGGGCCCTGCCGCCGGCTGAGCAGCATCCAGCGGGCACAGCTGCGTGCTCCATGGCACAGCTGCGTGCTTCATGGTACGCGTCATGCTGAGCAGCTGTTGGCAAGATTGCTTGCACGGGTTGCACACACCGCGGCCGACTGGGAACGCGCGGCCAGCGGCGCCGACCCTCCCCCCTGCCCTGCCTTGGCCTGCCCCTCCGCGCAGGTGCCCTGGGGCAACATTGAGCGCGAGCGGCACAACCGCGCCCGCACGCCCGCGGGGGAGGAGAGGCGGGTGCGGCAGGCCGTGGAGCGCGACCAGCGGCGGCAGCAGCGGATAGCAAAGGTGCGGACGCGGCGGGCGCGATGGCCGCCGCGCCGCTTGCGCGGCATGCGCTGCCGCCGCCTGCAGCCGAGCCACGCCGGCATGCCCGCACCGCGCCCCCGCACATCGCCCGCCACCTCCCGCCGCGCTGCTCCCTTGCCGCGCAGGCGGGCATTGAGTATGAGTACGAGGGCCTGGCGGCGGTGGTGCCCAAGAAGGCCAAGAAGACCAAGTTTGAGGACTCAGGGCGGGAGCGACGTTGAAGGAAAGCAGCAGGGGCGGCAGCAGCAGGGCGGCGTGCGCCACAGAGCGCCATGCATGCCCTCCCCCAGCCGGCATCTCCTTGTGTTGGCTGCCTGCCCGCTGTGCAAGCAAGGAGCCCTGCTGCACAGGGGCCTGCCCCACCCCACGCCCAGGGTCGAGCCTGCCGGGCTGGCGGGCTGGACTTGATTACACGAGGGTACGCAAACGGCCCATGCGGGCGACAGTAGGGTAGTGTTCTGTTGGCTGGTGCTGCGTCTGGTTTGTA